CACTGACAGGCTGTTCTACTTCTTACGGTTGCCGTCTGTTGCTCCTGCCGCTGTACCGCTCTACTTCATCGCCATTGTCCCGGTCCTCTTCTAAATTTTCGGCCTCGCTCCCCAGGGACTCTCCCGCTGACGCATCCACTCGGCTGACTGGTGTGGGCTGCTCCCATTCTTAACACGATGTGAGGAAGCTGCAAATACAGCAGGAACTACTGGGCAAGATGCGGCTAGTCTGGGCAGCCTCACTCGGGACCATCTCTGAGGTCGATGGCCACTTCCCGGGCTCTTTCATGCTGACATCCTCAGAACCGGGTGGTCATGCTGCTCCCGTTGCCGTAGCGACACTTTTTTCCCACGTCTTTGCAGCTTGGTGTTCCAAAGCACAGTTCCAGCTTATCCTCTGGGATTTCTCCTCCCAGCTGGGGTCGTGTGCCACAAGCCTTTCTCCGACCAATCTCTTGCGTCTATGTAGCTGGTGCGCATGCACTTGAATGACTCTCCTTTGCTAGTGTACTGTTGCCACACTTCCACATTCGGCACGTGCCTCGTGCCTCTCCTTTACTCATCAAGGCAACTTCCAGCTGAAATGATGGCATTTTGATGCCACAACACGCCTCCAGTTTTTAACGAAAATTTTTAACCAGTGTAGCATCAAAAAGCCTGTAAGTGCAAAACATCTGAAACAGAGCAGGTGCTAGACATTATTCCCTGCACCCTAAATACATGAGATTTTCGACCTACCTTTTTGTCTTTAAATTTTTCTCCAAGCCGCTACCTGTCATGAGTAGAACATTTCACTTAACCTGAACTACATATTAATAACTGAACGGCCAAAAATTCATCTCGAGAGAGAAGGTGGTCATCAATGGGTCTTTGCTGGAGAGAGAAGGGTGTGAAATCCTCCAGCTAAGTGCTGTGGACTGCGTTGGAAACTTATCAACACCGTTATCACATCGAGAATATTTCATTCTCTTGACATCCACGTCGCAAAAAGTACACAGGCGCAAGTTTACCAAAACCAGTTTCAAAAAGTCATTTTACGTAACACAAAGTTTGGGCGTTATTGATTTACCAGCACGTTCACTACCGGAAACTTGCAAATAATAAATAATTGGATATGTAAGATTAGTGTGCGTAGATAGCAGCACTGATAATGTTAAAATGTGCATTATTGTATGACGAAAATCCATGGCAACCGTAGGCTGGCGTGCCATAGTAGTATGAAAAGTTGCAGTGGCACCATCTTGTGGCATCCGCGCGAAATGAAGTTGCCAGAGTGAAGCTGTACACGCCACTTCATCCATTCAAGTTCACTATACCTCATCTATTGGAGCAGCACTTTCATACTGCTAGTAGCCAATGCTCAGTGTTGCTTGGTTGACTATATATTCAGCTCGATTTGGTGGTTTACACTTTCAATCGAGATGCGTAGCAGAAAGTGACGTTTATGAGCAGCAGGGCGCAGCAGGTATGATTGGCGCAGAATGGTGCAAATGGCACATCTCTTCACAACCCATGGAGTCAGCAATTTTTTCCTCCCCATCCTGTGTGCACTGCGTCAACCTTTGGTTGCAGCTTTTGTAGCTAATGAAGTTCGTTTAAATATGGTTAAATTTACTTGTAGAGGCTTAAATATACTTTCCTTTATTCTGATAGTGAAACTGTTAGGTTGATGACACAAAGAACAGACAGATCGAAATTTAATTTAGCTCGACCATAATTATTGAACATTTTGTTTCCAGAATGCATGCAAGTACAGTAAAGCCTAGTTATTTCATAGTTAGCTGGACCGGAAAAATCATCCGAATTAAGAGATTGCTAAATTATTGAAAATACCAAGAAAACAAAGCATCAATGACTTAGTCACATTGATTCACTTTAATTTTCTCAAGGAATACACAAGTCCAGTAATTATTTGGCATAGGAGCAGTGAAAAAGTCGTGATTTCTGTCATTTGTGAATTCGTTCCCCATGTGAATGCGGGTCAAGGTCCCCATGTTATCCGAAATGTGCTCAGAACCCATACCCTATCACCAGCAACGTTATGTTAGATGGCGAATGTGCCTTTCTGAATGGCAGCAGTTGTTTCAGATATCTGTGAACGCTAGTTTTGTTTGTGTTGCAGATCATTTGTCGCACACTTCAAATGAACCAGGCTGCAGCCGAATTCATGTGGATTATTCAATTTCTTGAATTAACGAGTTTTACTGAATCATGTAGGATTTTTGTGAGCTGATAGCGATAGGCAATAAAGTGTTTTTGAAGATGCCAATTGGAAAATCACGATTGTTGTACTAATTCCTCGGCATCGGTAACAGCAGTGTCTCCCAGCAGTGTCTCCCAGCAGCTGGCAGCACATGCATCACAATACTTGGTCAGACTAACTGTTGCTTTTTTTGCTGCTTGCTTTTTTTTCTGCTGGACATTCATAGGTGAAGAGGGCACAAACAGACACGTGACACTATGAGCTGCTTTTTAACTGTATCTAAAAAAAAAGCTCACTACATTCTCCAGCACCTTTTGCACAATTTTGAGATCAATTTTTGCTGTCCTTGAGAACAAAATGATTATATTTAGCTACTAGGAAAGAATTGGCAGCAAAATCATTTTGATATACAGTCAAACCCCGATACAACGAATGCCACTTCAACGTACTATAATAACTCGTGTAATGAACGCACCAGCGTAATAAACGTACCTCGAACATTCATCCGCTGCAGTCCCGTCAATTGACACTTGGCGCCTCTTTACACGTTAGATCTCTTCCGCTCTCTATTATTATGTCGACTCCCCTCGGCCACCTCGGCTCGCTCCCCCTAACCTCCTTTCGCTCGTTGCTCCGTGCTGTATTGTTATTCCTTCTATTTGTGCGCAGGACGTCAAGTATATTTTTTTATCTGAGCTGCCACAGCGTGGTTCACGAACGGCGCGAGTGTAGAGGGATCGCAGCTGATAAGCACACAACGAGCGAAGGTCACGAAACTGCTCGCGCCAACCGGCGGTCGCTTCCTGCAAATACGAAACTTTAATGCCCAACCCCATGCAGGTGATTTTCAAGCGACGACAATAGGATTTGCTGTTGTGAAGGGTTATTCATCGCTATCGCAGGTTTTTTGAAAACCAGAAAAAACGCTCGTCGCCCAGAAAAGATTGTGACAATTTCCGCGACATGGTAGCACCTATGATTCTCGCTTCGCTTGTTCTCTGCACGTACAGGAAATTTTCATGTGGGAACGAGGCAGCGGCCGTATTTTATCGTTTCTCTTGTTATCGATGATTTGTTTTAATGCTTCGGCGGTAGTTTGCTGCGAAGTCGGCAAAATGCGTCGTAGCGCACGCTTCTGGACGCCCCTCAAGATCACAGCAGATACCACTGTGGCGGTTGAATGATTGCGAGAAAACATAGCAGCAAAACCCTTTCAAGGCGTGCTCGGGCAGCCCGGGAACAGCTTGCAAAAGATAGCGCCATCAACCACCGAAGATGAGTAAAGTGCAACAAAGAAGCTGTTTCCAAACAGCGTATGCGTATGTCAATTGCGAAAGGCTAAGCGACCTAATTTTTTTGCATTCCCGCATTTTTAGCTCATGTCGAGAAAGCTTTCATCAAATTTGACCTGCAGAATAAACACACCCCCAACTTTGCTCTGAGTTTTTGAGAAATAAAGTGCGTCCATTACGCGAGTGAATACAACAATTTCCGCTACAACAAAAAATTTTGTTCCCCATCAGCAGTCTGTAGGAGTCAATGCATAAATATTCTCACTTCAACAAACACTTTCTATTCTGCCTTTCCACTTCAGCGAAATTTGATGATGCAATACCCGCCACAGATGTTTTATTCTGAGGAGTAAGCACGATCTTGAACGTTTTGATGCACTTTCAGAACATAAATATACATCTCTACAAAGACAAAAATAAGCGTTAGCATCACCGGAAACTGCCGCTGTTTACTAAGCATGGGAACCACTATTGCTCGATAGCAATGGCAATGAGACTGCCCTGGTTTTGCCACTGCCTTGCTTCTGAGCTGCAAACAATTCGAAGGTGAAGCGCAGTCGCACAGTTTCCGACCCGCTGCTGCTGGGTGCAATGGTTGAACTATGCCAATGCTGTTAGTTCCTTTTTTGCTTGGTCACACTGGTCAGAGCGGCTGTTTGAGTTAACTAAATCAGCCAGCTGCAACTAGTGGATGATAGGAATAGCAAAGAGAAGGCATAAGTCACCGCTCCACGATTCCACGCCTGTTTCTCAACGTTGTTGGATACTTTTTGACGGCGGACAGCTGCTAGTGTTAGCGTGTTAGTGTAACTGTTAGGTCCGCTTACAAAAGCCATTGTGGGTGTTGTTTCAGCACGCTTTTCAACATGGCGTCACTATGCATGCATTACTCTGCTGAGAAAGAAAAGGAAGCAGCCGGCACTTATTGACTATCTCAAATAAACGTTCCTTTGTTTTGCTAGCTCAGCTCAGCTACATCTTTTTAAAGTATCACTACAATAAATTTTTTCGCATGCTACATCAGTTTCGTTTTAGCGAGATTCAACTGTAGCATGGATGACACAATGCAAATGTCAACAGACATGCTTTCCCGACACTGATTTTTGTAGTGCTTTCTGCTAAGTCATACTCTGCCTTTCCCCTAAAAGTGCTGATACTGGGAGGAATGAAATCATCCCACAGCTTTTATTCATCTTAAACGAAGCTTATCTGAGACACCGAGAGCAGGAAAAATGTGAAGGACCTTTTACGTGGAAGTTGAACCTAATAATGTTTGGTTCTTCTTTATGTACAAGTTGGCTTGTTTCAGATCACTCCAATTTGGAATAATACAAATATCTTGCATGGCCCTGAGGAATCTGACTGTAGCCATGCGTCAGGGCTCCCGCAGCTGCAGCCAAAGGTAGGATGTAGGATTGTTTCTCTGACAGGGAGCTTTTCCGCTATAAGCTAACAAAATGCTACTATCGAAGAAATGCTAAATGTAACAAAAAAAAAATACATACAGCGGTGTCATCTTCTCGGAATATTTTCACAGTCTTGTCAGCCTCGGCTGTGATGAGGCGGCTGCCGCTCTGGTCGAATCCACAGGCAAATATGCCCGCCTCACTGTCGATGGAGCCTGGCTGCACTGGGGCTTGGAGCCGCTGGAAGTTGTAGCCCGTGCGCCAATCCCAGAAGAACAGTGTTCCATTGTCCCCTGAGTTTAAGCATCCACTTAAAAATCAGTCAATCGTTGCTGCAGCCAAAAAATAAAAGGACTAGGCAAATAGCAGCCGGCCAATATTCAAGCGAAACTGCTGCACCACAGCAAGCTGCGTAAATAATCCATTAACCTAAACAAAACATTGTTGCACACAATACTTGTTCTTACAGCAAATTTTACAAACAAGCTCACATTCACTGGTTTGCATGAGGCAGTCAAACACTTAAAGTAGCTATTTACAAGGCAAAACTACTTTTTGGGCAAGTTGTTGAAATTTAGAAAACACAATTTTATGGTGCTGGAAAAGCACAAGCAATGGAGAGATGCACAGATGCGAAGAGCACCAACTACAAGTGCAAAGACAGAGTTATCACATCATATCTTTTGTTTACAACAACGCTAGCATTTCACTGTGACCCATTTTTGCAAACTCCCTATCTTCGTTGAGCGGGCAGGCTAATGGTCTACAGTGTTCCAGGCTGTGCTACAAGCCAGACTCTTTAGCGTTCTGAATGGTGTGCAAGTAGAAGGCAGGTTGGAATTCTGCTATATGCACAATGCAACAAGCACGACAGTTATGAACAAAAACAGGCATAGCGAATAAACACAAAGAACTTTGTCGTTGAGTGCCTCTGTTCAGGCTTAATCCTAGGTTTGTACTGGTATTCTGATGCTTCGAATATTTTAAATAATATCACTCTATTCAAATTCACTTGATTTTAATTTAAATTGTTTGAAATTTTAAAGTGTTATAATGAACAATATGTGTATATTAGTCTACATGTAAACTCCTTTAAAAATGGTTTCACTGCAGTGAAAAAGTGCTAAGCCATAAAAGCACCTATCTGTATATACATTAATTTGCACGTACCTCATTGTAGAGATGATTTAACTGCAGTAAAAAAATGCTAAGCCCTGAAAACACCTATCCAGGGGAAATCCACACTGCCACGAAACACCTTTTGAAGCTTAAATGAATATATTACTAGAGCTGTATGAATGCTTGCTCTAGGGCCTCACGAAAATTGTACATATTAAGAAAAAAACCGCAGTGTGCTAGTATGGACGTAAAACTTCTTGCTTTTAAAACTTTCATACGGCCGATAATGGAATATGCCAGTATTGTCTGGAGTCCCCACCAAAAAGTGCTTGTAAATAAACTTGAACGCATACAACGGCTTGCAGTTCGTTTTATATGCTCGAGATATAGGCAGAACGACTCAGTCACAGAAATGCTACAACTATGCAATCAGGAGAGGCTCCACAAGCGCAGACGCAAAAATAGATTAAAGTTTCTTTTTCAATTATTCGAAGGTGAGTTTAAAATTAACAGAAATGACTACATAGAAAAACCTGGGAAATGAAGCGAGAGGGCAAATTATACATGAGTACTGCACCCTTATTTTGCATGAACGAAGGTGTACCGTCATACTTTCTTCCCTGATGTCATTAAAGATTGGAATGGATTACCGAGTAACATAGTCAATGCGGGTGATATTAATGAATTTGTGCATTTACTTGATTTACATTTATGCGATTTATTGTAAATATTATTGCGATTGTTATTCGTTGAATTGTGAATCAGGGTGTGTGTTTTTCATTTTTCGTTTGGAATGCAGAGCTTTCACGGATTTGTATATATGTATACCTGGTTTATCATTGGGAAATGTATAGTTATATCCCCAATTTGTTTGTACAGTGTGTCGTACCTTTTCTGTAATGACCCTCAATAGAGGGTTGACAGTATTTCTAAATAAAATAAAAATTAAAATAAATAGCAAAATTCTGGCTGCAAGGCCAATTCAAATATTAAAGTTCGAGTGTGAATTGCATCGAATATTTTTCGTAGGATTTTTAAATACTTTTTGAATATTTCGAAGTAACAACTATAGAAAAAATGTTGCAAAATATACCTAAAACAGGGTTCGTACAGGTTCCCAAAGCGAAAATTCAAGGATATTCAAGGACTTTCCAGGACCTGTTACAAGTTTTTAAAGGACTCAAAGCGGCATGCTAAGTTGAAATAGTACACTCTAAAATTTTCAAAAATGACCAATTTTATTGCACTTACAATGAATATATGGATATCGCAACTAAAAAAAAAATTCAGTCTTCTTGCACCCTCTCCCTCCACAGAAAGTGGGCACAATGCCGTGTCAGAAAGTTACGCGCTGACGGGCTGCAATGCGCACGTGTGGTCAGGCCTTAAAGGGGTGGTGCCACAATACTTGTGGGTTGTGTTCTCATTGCTGCAAGCATTAATTATAGCTCCAACAAGCACGATATAAGCACCAAGATTAATTTATTCTCGCCAAGTAATTTATCGCCCTATCGACGTGGACAATTTTCAGTTCCTGTTTGTGGGCGTCTGTGATTACAAAAGTTTGCACGCCTCATGCCGAGTATCGTCTGCTCTTGCACAAATGTGCCACACAAGCGCTTGCCAAACAAACACGTCACTAGCTGCAGCAGCTGCGATGCTTTGCCAGTACGTACGTGATGAAAGCCCACAGGTCACTCACCGCACTATAGATCTACAACTTTCGTTGCCCTTCCTATAGAGCTACGTCAGTGTTTGACACGCTCATGATGGGCCTCGATTAAGAGAATTAGCATTTAGGTACACTTGGGAAGTGACTTAAGGGGAGACACGGGTCTTGAAGGACGAAAAATTCCCGAAAAATCAATTTTTTGAAGTACTTTTTTTAATTATATATAGGGCCTACAGGGCCTACAGAAGGTGTTCCTAAAATGCTATTGCCATGTAATGCATATTCGTTGAGTAATTCGATCTCAAAGTCAGTTTCATGACCATTTCCCTTGCAAGACCACCTCAAGATCAGTCACATTAAATGCCGCGGCGCCTGAGAACCACGCCAAGTAGCGCGGCCATTTTGGTCTCATTTGAAAGCCGTATTCCTTTGTCTGTTTCTAGCAGAAGACCGCTGTTTGTCTAGCAACAACGCCGCTATCGCGAATATAGAAAAATCAAATACTCGCACGTCATTGGTGCATTTCTATCACCTGGGGCAGTTTCCGGTTCCCTATTGGATGTCAAAAGATTCATTCGTCAGCTAGACAGCGGTGTACAATCCCCCATTTTGTGACGAGGCCTAAGCGACGGCTGTGTGATTGGTGCGGTGGCAGGCGGTCATCGAAAGTTCGATACTGCTCATGCGTCCGAAAAGCAGCGAAAATGACGTCTGAGAGCATGCAGCATCTTATCAGCGAAACTCTGTGCCGTCAAGAACATGGAAAAAGCTAGCCGTGCCAACGCCATCACGAACGCGGCTCCCACGATCACGAACGCGATAGGCGGGGCCAACGATCACACGCGAGATTTGCCCGTCGGCACTTCCCTGGTTTCCAACGCTAAAAAAGTGGCCCTTGCATGTCATAAAAGTGACATTCAAAGAGACCTTTCGTTGACCTCAGGCTCACCACGCGAGCGGTCTGTTTTTCGAGACTCGGAAGCGACCGCGACTACTGGAACGCCGTTCACCGTCATAAGCTGCTTCAGTGTATGAATTACGGTGTGTGTGGCGGGCTTGGCAGCATTTCTGAGAAAGATCGGGAATATGACATCGTTACGAAACTTGTGCTGATGTGTGATGAGTGCGGGGAACTGAAATTCATACGGAGTTCGCCGAGAGTGGGGGAAGAGGGGGAATGCAGCACGCGGTCCGTTCGAGATCAATGTGCTCACGGTTCGCGGGGCACAGCAAACGGACAAACTGCATAAAATTGCATTTTTTTTACCTAGAATGTTTCACAGAGATGCAAAGACATATAAAGATTACATCAAAGTGGGAATGATTTCTGCTCGTAGAAGGCTGCCGCGTACGTTAGTGATGACTGCGCGAGCACCGTCAAAACGCTGTATGCCGATCTGAACTTTAGACACCCTGGAAACATCTGGCGTGCAATGAAAAGAAGGCGCACGGAGAATGATGACGACTACACTCCTGGTGGCTTCTAGCATCGTTACTGCGCTGATTTACACCATTACCTGTTGAATATACATGCTCACCGTGTCCCTAAACTTACTTTCTCAATTTCCCAAAACAACATTTTTCATAAAGCTCGAGGCCTTGTGCCCATAGTATCTTTTGCTCTAATGATTGGATTTTGATAAGCTTATACATTGATGAATGCAACAAGACCAAAACATTATGGTAATTTTATTAAGAACAGCAATTTAATTAGTGACAAATTTAAACAACAGTTTCAGATTTCTGATGAGTTACTTGTTAAGGCCATAACTCTTGAACCAATGAAGCTAAAAATAAAGTTAAGGTTTCCTTGCACTCCCTGTTCTTTACAGAATTCTCCCATATTTAATTTGCAGCAATATTTTATGAGAAAGCTGTCTAAACAGTGGGTGGTAAGTTTATGAACCAGTCAATATTTTAAAATCTGGAAGCGACAGCTGAAAACTAATTGCATATTTGTTTTCAGCTGTGAGAAATCCATGTCAATAAAATTTTCAGCTCTACATACCCAAATACTAAAAAAAAAAAACGTTTAAGACCAGTGTCTTCCCTCAAAATATATTTTGAACATTTCCCAATTTCGACCATTCATGTGAAATGTCCTTGCATATATAAAGAAAACCCACACGGTGCTTGCTATAGCCTTAAAATTTGATGGCACCACCCCATCAAGAGCATTGGCTTGTCCACAGTTGACACTTGCAGCACGTTGCTCAACAACAAAGTAGTAACAAGTGTGACAGCAGTTAATTTACACTCATCTTGTGGACATATGTGTGTTCTTTTCTAGCATCCTTCGTGGCGAGATGAAACACGGTCCCTAACCAAGTCTGATGATGATCTGACGTTTCGGAACCGCATACGAGTTTCTCATTCACAGACTCGTTTGTGGTTTCGAAATGTCAGATTAGATCATCATCAGACTTAGTCAGTGACCGTGTTTCAACTTATTCAATGCCTGACCAGACGAACTTTTATCGAACTCTCTAATACATTTTTGTT